CACACCCGTGTTGGTCATAGACCCCGCTAATACCAATTAGGGGTATCCAGAGGACTATCGCAGTCCGTTGGCACTAAGTGCACCGCAGGCGGCCATGGGGCTTGAACCCACAACCTCCTTAATGCCACTTGCATGCCTAACCAACTGAGCTGATCGTCCTATATTAATAACCCTCTATATATATGTGAATATATATGTCTTGAGTATTTCGTGCGGCCTACAATAACCGCGCGCAAGGGTTAAACAAATTTTGTTTTAAGGGAAATGAGACTTTCCCTTTTGGCGTTTGCTCTTTAGAATTTCTATCGTTGGACGTTGTAGTTTGTGGCAGCCGTCAAAGTCAAACCCCTTGATTTCTCTCCAGGCCCTACGTGAAGGAGCTGGTCTCCAAGGCGATAAGAGACGATTGCTGCCAGAGGTATGAACCTGTGTACCACCCACTCTTCGCAGAGTGCAGAAGCGGGTGTGGTTCTCACTTTACGGTTGTAGAGTGTCGAGAGATCAATCTTTCAAGGCTCGTGTCAGCCGACACTCGAGTGTCGAACGCGACCCTCGAGATTAACGAGGATCGCACGAGTATGGGTACTACATAGTACGCCATCATTGCGGCTGCTTGCGTACGCTTGCATTGCGAGTCGATATGAGTTAGACCGACGTCCGCGCGGTTTTTATATTAAGTCTCGTGCGCGAACCCCATCCGTTTTCCGCATCGGAGAGTTATGGGATGGCTACTAAGGGACTAGGAGCGTTGTCGCGTTGCGTGTTCAATGTCGTTCTCTATATGTATATGTACGTGCGTGTGTGTGTGTGTTTTCATTTTTATGTTCTTTATAGTGGTGTGCGCGTGGCATGTGGGATGCGTCCTAGTCGACCGGCGACGAGTCGCGCTTGGGACCTCAACCCCCCAAGGCGTCGGTTCGCGTGCGGGTCGGATAGAGGCGTTCTGTGTGTACCCCCTATGCCACAGCGAACGAGAAACGCCCTCGGCTGGTCCACCTCTTCGATTGCAGCTGATGAGCTTTCGTCCTGTGGACTGGTAGCTCGGCAGGGATACACCCACCGAAGGGAGGTGACAACTCCCATAAGGTGGAGGCAAGTCGTGCTTCGCGTAGGCCCTATCCTATCGTAGGGGCTCGCGGGAGGTATGGCTGGCGCACTCGGCCGAAGCGGCTTGCGGAAGCTCCATGTATATTCGCGATTAGGATTTAGACCAACTCCTGCGTGATGCGGCCGGGAAGGTCCCGCGCTGCCTTGTGTGGTGCAGGACTGATGCGCTCGACAAGGCGCGCACAAGAAAGAGAGAGAGAGAGAGAGAGGGTGTAAATGCGCGCGCAATATGCGCGCGAGAGAGAGAGACTGCCCAATCGAACTAACTACGTGCCACCCCACCCCTACCCCATCCCCCACCCCACCCCCCACGATCAAGTGTAGTATCTGCTATGATCAGTTGCGACAAGAGAGAGAGAGAGAGAGACTTCAGTACTATAAAAGGCGGAGATGGATAGTGGAGTGGCGAAAATAGGGTCTGAAGATAAGAAACTACGGAGGCTGAGGTAGGGGTGGAGTAAGGTGAAGGGACTATGGCGGGAAAAGGTCAGCAAGAGGAGGGGTGAAGAATTCATTCAGAGGGCAAGGATGTGAGGTTGGAGAGGCCGGTTGGAGGGTAAGGGTGAGTCAGTTCTGATAGGTGGGGGTTAGGGGAGCAAGGAACCACTTGCGAAGTCTGTTAATAGGAGGTGGAAAAAGGGGAGAATACCAACGACGGGATTGGGAAAAGGGAAGAAGTATTGCCATGAGAGAGAGAGAGAGAGCAAATGGATCTGCAACAGCAGTAGGACAGGAAAGAGGAGGGGGAGGAGGGAACCTGAGGGGGAGTGTGAAAGAGAGAGAGAGAGACAACAGTAGGACAGGAAGGAGGAGGGGGAGGAGGGAACCTGAGGGGGAGTGTGAAAAGCGAGAGCGAGAGAGAGAGGGAGAGAAAGACCCACCCGCCCCGACGATCAAGTGTTGTATGTTCTCCGATCAGTTTCATATTTGGTCCGTGGTCCGTGGTCCGTGAAGACTCACAAACGAAGAAAAAGGCACACCCACGTGCGCGCAAAAGCGAGCGAGCGACAGAGAGAGGGGGAGAGAGAGAGAGAGAGAGAGAACCCAATCTACTAACTATGCGCCTCCCCCCTCCTCGCTCCCACACGTTTAAGTGTATATCTGCTTCGACCACTTTCATATCAAATCCTTCCCCTACATGATCAAGCGTTCTATCTGCTCCGTTCAGTTTCATATCAGATCCGTGGTCCATCGAGGCCTTTTTATTTATTAAAAAAAAGCACGCGCAGGCGCTCCATGTGTCTGTGTGCGGCATACTGCGTAGCCACACGGGCCTACAGGGCCCGTCCTGCATTTCCAGCCTAAAAGCTTAGAAACAAGGGCTTACAAGCCCCTATCGTTTCAGCCTGAAAGACTGAAAAACGAGGGCCTGCAGGCCTTATGTCGTTTCAGCCTAAAACAGGGCTTTTCAGCCTGAAACGTAGGGCCACTTTCGGGTCCTCATAAGATCGACCTACCCTAATACTCATGCCCGAAAACAAGGTTCCGGGAACAGGCTATTTCCGACCTGCTCCCCACGACAGCCTCAAGCAGGAGTTGCAACGACTTACCCTAATACACGACCATCTCTCTCTCTCTCTCTCTCGCAATTCGATTGAGGTGGAATATCTTGCTACCGTGATTGATCGATCGCTAGAGGTGTGAAAGACATGCACGCGCAAGAGAGAGAGAGAGAGAGAGAGAGAGAGAGAGAGAGACACCCCAATCTAACTAACTACGAGCGCCCCCCCCCCCCCCCGATCAGGTGCAGTATTTGCTTCGATCGGAAGCAACAGCCTGCCACCCACCCCCGCCTTGCAAGACCAAGCGTAGTACCTGCTGCGTTTAGTTTCATATCTGAACCATGGTCCATGGAGGCCTTTTTATATTGGAAAAGAAAAGAAAAACAAACATGCGATCAAGTGCAGTATTTGCTTCGATCGAAAGCAAAAACCTGCCACCCACCCCCGCTGTCCAAGACCAAGCGTAGTACCTGCTCCGTTTAGTTTCATATATGAGCCGTGGTCCATGGAGGTCTTTTTATACTGGAAAAGAAAAGAAAAGAAAAAAAAACATGCGCATGCACAAACAAGAGATAGATATATAGATTGATAGATTGATAGATGGATAGATAAATATATAGACAGATAGATGGATAGAGACGGAGATAGATAGATAGATAGATAGATAGATAGATAGATAGAGAGAGAGAGAGAGAGAGAGAGAGAGAGGGTTTAAACGCGCGTGCAATACGCAGGAGAGAGAGAGACTGCCCAATCGAACTAACTACTTGCCACCCCACCCCCACCCCACCCCCCACGATCAAGTGTA